TTTTTTTTTTTTTTTTGTGATAAAAGTGACCTTCTGTAAAGCTGATCAGTAGTACAGAAAAATGCCTCTTTATACTTACTGCATGTATTAAAATGTCTTTAATATGTCTTATGAAAGCAAGGAAAACATCTAACAAAAGCTAAATCTAACATGGCAAGTTGGTGGACAAGAGCTGTAGGTAGAGACTTAAATTGGAATGATGCATCTCACCAGCTGTTAATGCTTTCTGATTGATTAAAAAGCAGTACCAGCCTAATTCACAAACTTGATTCATGCTGGATTAAGGTGTTGCCAAACTCAATTAGGCACATCTAGGGGGGACAAAGCAGTAAGTTTGAGAAAGTTTCAATGCTACTCATGAGAAAAGCTGTGAAAATACTTTCTAGTGTGGAAGAGTCTGCAAGTTCTGCATCTATTTACCACACAGACACCCCTCAAAAATTTGAAGCAGCTTGCTTGCCAGGTTTGATCTTTACCTCTGAGGCTGGCAGATCAAGCCACTTGCACATGGGCATCGCTCAAGTACTCCATCAGGTTCCAGTTCCCAGGTGATAAGGTTGAGGAGTCTGTTTGAAGGATCATGGCAGGGTTCGCCTTCTTCAGGTAATGGAGTGCACACAGGAAACAGGAGTTCTGCATGACAGTAAATTAATTTTATGAGAAGTCGTTAACTGAGATGACCTAATCTTTAAGTCTACATGCAAGATATAAAAAGACAGACTTGGTCTCTTTTTAAGTCCCCTTACATATTGGGACAATGTAACTTAATGTTCTTTCCACTAGGTGGTAGTAAGACATTTGAAGTTTATGCTTAATGAGTAAGATCAACTCCTGCTTCTTCATGAAGAGACTGCTGTCAATACAGTAGTACTGCACAACTCCATCCCTTGGAGACTAAAAGATTACTAACATTACAGTAAATATTTTGCAATGCATAGCATTAATGGCTTAAAATCTGAATAAATCTCTCCATTTTCGAACTCCCTCTTATTTGTCCTATTTTTTGCAGAAGTTACAAATACAGAGCAATTGTTCAGAGACTAAATAATGAGGTTACAAGAACTAACACTCAGCCATTTAATTTGTTAAAGTAATGCTACAATAGGCAAAGCTGTCTGGTATTTGGGGCTTAGCACCCTTGTTTCTGCACGGGAGTGAATTTCAACCCATGTAAGAAATTATTTAGAAGGATATGTTGTTTGGATTTCCTGATACTAGTAACTTACAGTGTCAGTCTTAAATTCAGCTCTTCCAGATGTTCCTATCAAACCTCCCTTCCTCCTCTTGTCTTCATTCACCTCACTTTTTGTGGTATGGTAGGATAAAATATGTGAATAGTTCAGAATTTAAATTTTTAAAACAGGCTTGGTCAAAATATGTGTGTGTGTGTATACACAGACACACATGGTTTAATATGTATGACTTATCAATTCCTAATTCAGAATCAGATTATATCTTAAGTAGCGTTAATATGTATGACTTATCAATTCCTAATTCAAAACCAGATTATATCTTAAGTAGCAAATGCTCCATAGTTTACTATAGTTTTATATTTAAAAAGTATAAAGGTGAAGACAGTCTAATCTTTGAGGACAACCTTTCGTGATATTCTAGTGATGGAGAAAGGCCTTGAGGTTAGGCCAAACCTGAAAAACCCTAAAGCACTGCTAAGGCTGACACTATAGAGAATAATAGTCCATTGCTATTAATAAATAGCTCTATTTAAAGTTTTAATAATAGCATTCCATCAATATTCTTATTTACTGTATTGTTCCTTCCTGAGTTACAGGTTTGTACTAAATTTCATTTCAGGCCAAGCGCTAACGTATGCTCAAGTTAGTGTGAATGCCTTATGCAGCTGAAATAGTGGAGACACAGCTGCTTTGGATCCCGCAGGACATCAGGGCGACAGAAGCAGTATTGCCCTCACAGTAGGCTAGCCTACTGCTACTAACACCAATGGATGTAAATTACTGATTTACTCATCTCTACAGCATGAGCAGAGATTCAGATTCCTGCATGGTAATATTTTTAAAGTGCTCTTGCTGTCTCATTTCAGAATCGGAGTGCAAAGAAGCCTCTAACAGAGCTTGGCAAAACCTATAAATGCTTTAGGCAGGAACCTGATGAAGGGGAAAATAGAACTGCTCTAACCAAAACTTGCTGAAACCAAACTTAACACCAAAGGTCCGCTATGTAATGCTCAAAATTAACAAGGAAAAGCTGAGCAGGCGCATGTGCCTTCAAATGGTGTTGAGCTTTCTCCTTTGTTTCCCTGACATGCCCTAGCAGCCTGATCCACCAGCAGGCTGACGGTGGGACAGGCCGCCCAACTGTCAGCAAAGGTACAAGGTCACCCCTTGCTCAGAGCAAGAGCCAGGAAAAAAGCTATCTAGAAAAGTATCTACCTGGTGTAGAAAGATGGTTGTAATCGTATCCTGTCACTACAAAATTAAGGTGAACTCTGATATAAGCAGTGAGGAACCTGTGGGTATGAAACAGTAGAAGAAGTTGGGCCCTGACCAGGCAGGATTTAGAACTGATTTCAGGCCTGACACCTTCTCCTCCTCTCCTAACTTCTGTAAATCAAGTTTCACATATCCATGTGGACTGGCAACATAAATAATGTGGAACATCATTCTTCTACGTATCTTGGCTGTCCGGTCAGTATTGCATAGCATGGCGCCCTGGAAGGCTTATATAAAACTCATGAGTATGAGATACCTCAGTGGTCTGATTCTGATGGCCTGCTTGCTGATACGAAGGAAAAGCCACTTTCTGTAATCTCATTAATCTATTTTGTGTATTTTTAATTCTCTTTTTTTTGCTCTGTTGCGTGAAAATTTGATACAGAGCTCTGCTACTTTTTAATGACTGAGACTCTCCCTTAGAAACAGTAGATTTTTGTGCTTCTCATGCACATCTCTAGTGTGCAATAGGTTTTTTCTTTAACCATTGCGCACATCACTTGTTTCTCCTAATTTTATTAAAGTTTTATAATGAAGTTGATGTGGTGTGCTCCATAGGCCAAGGGAGAATGACCTATTGATTCTGTAGAGATTTAACGACTTCACCTGGGCAAAAGAGCTAAATATTAACACTCTTGTATGATAAAATGAACAGGATAAAAAGCAAAACTTCTGTACCTTTCTGGAAAGCACAGCACATTCCAGGGTTGCAGTCATGTTGGTTCTCACAAATGGTGCTGTTCTCTCCTTTTGAAGTGGCTTTCCTACACTCGCCCCAAACGCAAAGCTGGTCTCCACAGCATTCAACATCCCGTGAGCAGTGCTTGCAAATGGAAAGAGCACGTGACAAAACTGTCACTCTAGCACTAATTTCATATAGTGACAGCCAAACATATTAGACCCTGGTCCTGAAGATAACTGCATATATGTGCTTTAAATATATGCTGTTGTTTAAACAGAACTGCTTCGAGCACACATAGAACTATTTGCCAGACAGGAACCTCTGCAGCGGTGTAACAGCACTCTTTCTATACTATTATACTTTCAAGCTTACAAAACCTGAATTCTTATTTTACCATTTACATGAAAATTGATCAGTGGCCAGACATCCTAATGTATAACATGGATTTCAAGACAGCCTTTTGCAATCAAGGGAAACAAAAATTAATAAATGAAACACTATCAATGGAAAACACTACTGATTTTTTTTTCCATTGTTAAATGCAGTCAGGAATTTACAATTTGTTCAGAAGGATTGCTTTCAAAGAGCAAAGTAAAAAGTTCTTACTAAAATCCAATTTTTAGTTGTAATAAGAACCAGACCTCATTTGTAGCCAAGAATCTTTGAAAAAAAATCTCTTTGAAAATCAGAAATGCAAATCTCTAACTAGAGATAGCTTTGTATGACAATTGTCCCAGTGTTTCAACTATACACAGCTAATAAATCAACCTGATAAAAATGGTGTGTCACTTTGTTTCTTTTTTTTAGGTAGTTTAACATCTTAAAAATTCCTACTAGGTCAGCACTTTAACAGCTTGCTTCTGTCTGTGTAAAGGCCTGTCTGGGCAGCCACACAAAATCAGAATTTCTTTTCCAGTGGATCCCACAAGAAGTGCTTAACATAGGGCAAGAAGTAGGACTATGCTAGCACTATTAAGACCTGCTAATTCAAAAGAAAAATGCTTTGTAATTGTGGGGGTTCTAGGTCAGGGAATTGATCCCACCACCTTCACTCTGAGCTCACTTTATAACAGGAGTGCAGCTAGGACCCAATTTTTAATTTCTCTATCTTACAAATGTTCTATTGAGGACTGCACAGAAAAGGGGGGGAGAACGGGTGTTAGGTCATCCCAATCTTTATTTTTAATTATTCCATGTTAACATGAAAAATTATCAGTTTAACATTTTCTAAAATATGAAGAATAAGCTTTCTTAATGACACTTGAGCATATGTTCAGGACTTGCGTTTAAACAAGCATTCAGTCCACTGAAGTCAATAGAGCTCCCTGAAGTTACCAAGTATTTAAATAATTTCAGGAACAGCCTGGTGCTTTTAGATTATAATAATCCTATTGACTATGTGACTTTACAGCAAGGTTTGCTTGCTTGTAGACCTAACTCTCTGCAAATGCTTTGCAGAATGAATTTGTTTCACAGAGGCTATCAGCAGAACTTGGGTGACAAGGGACAGTCAGATAAAAGGCTGTTCTTAAACTGGATTTCCACCACAGAAAAAGCCTGAACTTCTCAGGCACCTATCACCTACACAAGAGAATCTAACCACAGCTACTACCAAGAACATTTATCTTTTAGCTCAAAAGAGAAGAATTTACTGCTTCCTGAGGTTCACTGATTCAAATAATGTAAATGATCCATGCAAGAGGCTCATTTACAGTAACAATTGCACTACAACATTGTACAAGTTGTCAACAAAGGGAAGAGCTCAGACTGCTGCAATTCTCTTTGTGAATCAAGAGCTGGAAATGACCAGCTGTCAGCTGAGCCTTTGGAGATGGCACAGTATTTCCTTTTTGCCCATTCCACTGGCAACCTACCGTGTGTTAGTTTACGCTCTCCTTAGGCCACCTAACAAGTCAAGCTTGAGTCAGGAGGAGCAGAGAGCAGGTTTTAAAACATATGAGAACAGAAACCTTAAAACTTAGTTGTGTTAACAGGAAGAAAAAACCCCAACCACCCAAAACACTCTACACATTTTTTAACCTCATGCAGAAGGCTTTGCATCTTCTTTTCTATCAATTTTGACTTGCTGACATTAGCAACAATAACTTAAATATATTGAGTTTCTAAAGACCACATAAAATCACATGTCATTGAGGACTTACTGTATGCTGGGTTTTACAGAGCTGACATTTGTATTCAAAGGTGGAGAACTGGCAATATTTCCCTGTTTCACAGTCTTCGTCAATGATACACTCCTGAAGAAAAGGATAAAAGTGTGATTTGCCACTGTGTGACAGAAATCCATGCCTCTTCTTGAAATACTAGGTGGTCTTGATTGATTGTATTTCTTATTTGGGAACCAAGAAAAAAAGCTTGCTTTGGTTCTTTGTACAACCACAGTTCTGTAATAGAACAATGCTATCTCCCTGGCATACCAAAGTATTGTGGCCTCAAAGTAGCTTCACTTCTTGTATAAATATTAGTACCAGCAACCTCAAGAAAAGAAATTATCTTGTTCTGTAGGCATTTGGGTTTGGTGGTGTTTTGGGGGTTTTTTGGGGGGAAGGGAGGGTGTTTGGGGTTGCTTTTTTTGGTGTGGGGGGAGGTAGCTGAAGACGTGTATTACATCTATTCTACTTGTATTAGAGTACAGTTGAGATTCATTACTTCTTTTTTTCAGATGGGAAGCAAGACTGAAGGAAAGAAGCTACAGTACAGCAGCTGCAGCAGCCAAGAGTATCTTTATGCTCTGTGGGAGACCATTCAGCAACAGCTTCCTTGATCCCAGGCCAGGTATGCTGTCCTCCCTCCTTTTCCCCAGCAACATTAGTGCCGACCCCAGAAACTTCACAGCATGGTTAGCTTGCCTACGCCCGCAAGGACAGCCCTAAGGGAGAAGGGAGATGTGTTTCATTTTCCTTTTAACTGCTCCTCTGCTGCCCTTTGCATGGGGCAGACAAATTCTTCTCAGAAAATCTTTGCAGTGCCTGAGCATTTTTGTCAGCAACAACTTCTGTGCTGAAAAATGCAGTGCTTCTTTCCACAGCACTGGGAACATTAAACATATCTGGGACTTTATGGTAACAGCAGGACTACCTTATAGCCAGTACTTCCAGGAAGCAGTAGATGTCGTACATCATTCGATTTCCTTTTCTTGGTTGATGGCATCTCTCTCATGTACCTATCATCATAGCCCATCAGCTGCAAGCTCACAGCTGCAAATGTCTAAATACCTACACGTGTAAATTGTAAATCCTTACTTTAATTTAATTTGAATATTGCAAAACATGCAGGAGCAGATTCTCAGCTGACATCATTCCTCTGGCATCTCCCTGCTGTCAATGGCATTAATTTACATTTAGTAACGTTCTAGCCTGTCGAAGAACGCGATTTCCACATTGCACGCTTTTGAAATACACGTAATAAACTTAGTGTTTCCTCCTCCTGCATGCAGAGCAATGCCTCATATAAGTTACCCATTTTGGCCACCTGAAATGTTTTCAAACAGTTTGATTACACAGAAGATAGAACAGAAGCCAAACAGAGTCTAGGGCCTGATTCTTTTCAAGTCAATAACATGATATTCAGGTTATATGTTTATAATTAAGAAGCAGTCATTTCAGCTGTTTTAAGACATTAGTATCACCGGGTCTAGGCTGCTATAAATTATCGTAATGGTTTTGTATCTTCATTATTCCAGTGCAGTGTTGCTGTGGTTTAACCCAGAAGGCAGCTAAAACAACCACACAGCCATTCGCTTACTCCACCCCCAGTGGAGTGGGGAAAAGAACTGGGAAAAAAAAAAAGGTAAAACTCATTGGTTGAGATAAAGACAGTTTAATAGGACAGAAAAGGAAGATAATAATAAAAATGATAATAAGTACAATAATAGAATATACAAAACAAGTGATGCACAGCACAATTGCTCACCACCCACAGACCACTGATGCCCAGCTAGTTCCTGAGCTGCCCCCAGCCAGCTTCCCCCAAGTTATACACTGAGCATGATGTCATATGGTACGGAATATCCCTTTGGTCAGTTGGGGTCAGCTGTCCTGGCTGTGTCCCTCCCAACTCCTTGTGCACCCCCAGCCTCCTCACTAGTGGGGCAATATGAGAAGCTGAAAAGTCCTTAACTTGGTGTAAACATTGCCTAGCAACAACCAAACCATCAGTGTGTTATCAACATTATTCTCATCCTAAATCCAAAACACAGCACTATACCAGCTGCTAAGAAGAAAATTAACTCTATCCCAGCAAAAACCAGGACAAGTGTGTGTTCTGCTTGTTTGCTTTTGTGTTGCTACATAATTCAGTGGGCCAAAATCCAAATGTTATATAGTATGTTTGAGGTTTTGTGGTTCCAAGTTAGCAGTTAGCCACTTCTCTTCCTCAGCAGCCATGCCCTTTCTGGCCAATTTTTGTCTGTAGCTTTGTCAGCTGCTTTTCTGAATCCCTCTGTATAAACCATACTTAGAATAAACTATACGGTTTCATTCCTGTTCCATCCACTTTCAGGCAAACAGCCAGGTCTCAGTGTAGTCAGTTTTTCCAATTGTCCCTCTCCACAGAGAAAAAATCCTGCCATAATTGTTTTTAAGCTCATGGAATAACTCTCTCTCTCTAGCTCTAAAACCACCTAACATCAAAGTTGCAATTCTGCAGTCACTGCTTTCTCCTGCACTAATGAGTTCCCTGCCAAAAACTTCTTTTTTCCTTCTTACTGAATTGTGTCCCAGCAGTTCAGACTTCCAGTTTTATGAGGGTTTTCAGTTGGGGAAAAAAAAATCCCTTCACAGTTTTCTTTCCTGGCATGGAAAAAGCTTGCTTTCATATACTCTCTGAAATTTTGTGCCACACTCCAAACCAACTTCCTTCACCCAGGTATTATAATCCATAATCAATGCCAAACTCGGTAATACTTACACATGCAGATATGTAACACTTTATCTTTTTTCCCTCTCTCTCTTTTTTTTTTTTATTTATTTAATCAGGCTACAGACCTTTTTAGACTACCTTGAGACACAACAGCTGCTGAACAAGGAGTAGACCTAAACATCTTCATCAGCTGCAATAGATTCTGAACTGTCAATTTTTTTCTGGAATTCAGCAAACTAAGTTATTTCTCAGAATATTTTGTCTTTGCAGAAGCAACTGTGTAAACTGAGGAGAGGGGGTGCTGGCTTCTGACATGCAGCAGAGCATACAAGTTGAGCAGATAGCTTAAAGACAGAATTAGCTACTTACAATGGTGTACCATCTCTCTGAAATCCATTACGATGTGATACCAGTTAATTTAATGAAGCAGCAAAGGACTATGCTGTTTCAGAAGTGCTAAAGAATAATTCAGAGTGAAAGCAGGATTGCCTATTTATTAATTGGTATACTAGGACCCATAAACAACAGAAACCAGGATGGAGAAGAGCATGCTATGTACTTGTAAGTACATATTCGGCATCCTGTGGGCTCTTATTAGAATATTGTACTCTGCAGTGAATATCCTGCAACACCTGAAAGCAATTTGGGGGTTAGGATCTGTTCCAAAAGCAACAGGGAAAAAAAAAAAAACAACCCCAAAACAACAAAACAGTGAAACTCATGGAAAAGGTTCCCCATCTTCTAAGACTGCTAAAACAACTGCTGCTGAAAGAAACTTCAATTTTCTTGTCTTTGGCAGATTATGCCAACGTATCATTCGCTTTTCTAAAGAATGGTTAGTCTCTACACTTGAGAACAAAGAAGTGACTGATGTTAGTGATAGTGAAGTATGGTAGTACCACAACTACCAGAAAACTGGAACAGATGCCTGAGCGTGAGATGGCACAGCAGTGTACAGGTCAGAACTGGTGTAACAGGTTTTGACAAGAGTACTCTCCTTCGGGCTGAATGTTTACATATACATGGGAAGGCACAGAAGAAAAAAGTTTTCTTACAATGTGATATGACAATCTTCACGCTCCACCCAATAGCATGCCTTTGACCTAGAAGGCACTATGGGCTATTTTGGCAGATTGTACTTGACTGGTGGAATGTAGTCAGCTGTGGCATGGACCACATTATCATCTGCCCATATAACACACTAAGGGTAACAAGGGAGAAGCAAAGAATTTCTCAGTTCAAGTTATGAAAGCAGAACTACAAGGTCAGAATTAACCTACTTTCACATAGAAACCCACTTGTGTCTGCAGTGTTCATATGGATTCTGTACCTCACTATGGTAATATTTTTAATACTCTGTTTTGCTGGTGATATAGTATTGAAATTATGCTCATTTTGCTTTGCTCATTTCCCCCTCAATTCCTAATTAGCACCCTAAGTGTAGACTAGAACATATGCTCAAGTCTATTCTGATAGTGTTTGACTTTCAAAATGGAATCATTGATTTTAAATTCAAAATTGACATTTGATTTGTCTATTCCCTCTCCCCACTCCCACTCACCCTACCTCCCACATTCTCAAAAAGTCCTTGTTCAAAGATAATTTTACATAAAACTCTCTCTTCACTATTCATATTTTCATCCAGTATTTGTCAGGGACAGGCAAATGACCATCCTGAATGAGCTTTCCTTTACTTCTGGGCTCTTTACACTTTAGCTTAGAACCCAGGAAAGCAGAGGAAGGCACTGTTGATGACTTTATATACAACTTTTCAATGGTGATTAATACATTTATCAAAGCCAGACACTGAATGCTAAGGGGGGGTGGGGGGTGGGGTGGTATATGGAACAGTGAATGCCCCTGTGGGTAAGGGGCAGCTGTAGTGGAGAAATTCAGTAGCAGTTGTCTGCCAAGGTCTCTGACTGCTCTGACATGAGAACAGTACGTGGAGTCAAATGGGAGAACCACCTTTCCCCTCCTTGTGTAAGCTATATGTCCCAGTTTGCTGGCTTATTCTGATCCAGTTGTAGTTTGTGACTACAAACCTTTTGAAACTGCCTAACAGCTGAAGGAGAGGCAGGCTTTTTTTTTTTTTTTTCTGCCTTGGCACTCTCTGTACAGCTGTAAGCCAAAATAGCCATTCCAAAGTGTTCATTCCTAACCCTCTGTGGATTTCAAGTTCATAAGCCAGAAAGTATAGAGGCAAAATTCACAGACTTCAGAGAGGTGAGGAAGTTTTGCCAGGAGGGACAAAACATAGGAAGTGATGCTACAAAAGCAGTTGCTGCAACAATTAGAAAATTATTTTTAGTAACAGCCTTGGAAATGTGTGGGGGCGCCTCTCACAGTCTACTTGGACAACTACACTCCAAAAGCT